GGCAACAGCGATTCTCGTCCTCCGTGCTTGCTTTTTCTCAGAATGGGGCTTGGTGAGCGTTTTCGGCCGAAAACGCGTTTTCGGCCGAAAACGTGCACGTTTGCACTTCCCCGCCAGAGAGAAGCTGTTAGCCGGGAATTCTCTTGCTGGTTGTGACCGCTGCCCGGGACGCTCCCCCCGGCAACCCACCGGGCCCCTACCTGTCCTTAAAAATGGCAGGACGCAGCTTAGCACTCTGGCTTTTGGAAGTCATTTAATGCACCCCCAGCCCCCCAAAAAAGTGCAAAGGGAGAAGCATAAATCCACCGGAGTGGGTAAGAATGCAGAGAGCGTTTTGCTCTCTTTTTTTCACAGCAGTATCTCTACGGCCTTTCCAGAATGCACAGCTCTTCTCCTCGGAGGGAAGATGTGTTGCTATCCATGCTGTGCTATTTCACACCCTTCCTCCAACAGATGGCACAGATCCTCACCTGTTTAGAAAGAGATGTTTGAAATAGTCTTGCGTCTTAAAAATAGATCCTAGCTGTCGAAGCGATTAGTGAGTCCAGACCGCAGGTTGGGTTTTTTCAAAACATCCATCCCCTGTTTTTCCTCATTATTGGCGATAGATGTTAACCCCTGTTCTGCTCAGGGTGCAAATGTGGAACCACTGCCAGACAGGACAGACAAGCTGATCTGGAATGCCTAGGAATGCCAGGCGTGGTGCTGGGGCTCGGATGTGTTGATACGACTGCCTGCCTGTACATAACAGTAGAAATAAAACATTGTGTTTGCATTTAGAGATTAGCCAGAATTGAATCTAGGATTCAAACATCATTGAGGTCCAGAAGCAGAACCAAATGGCACAGCTAATTCCTCTTCCTGTAAAGGACTCTGCTAAAACCTGAAGCCTGGGGCTGAGAAGCCTGGCGCTTTCCTTGCTTCTCTTTTCTTTGAAGAGCATCGTGACTGTAAAAAGGGTGTTTGAATTCTGCAGTGCATGCACAGCTGTAGCAACTTCCTCCTGTGATTTTCATTCCATGAATTCCTTCAAGTTTCTCTTCAAGAACATTCTTTTGTGTGATATACAGCCAGGGAACAGCTATATTGTTGCTGCCCAAGCACAGAAACTTTGAGCTATTCGTTGCCAGATCTGTGAGTGGTTTGAAGCCAAATGGGGATGGGGTTCAACACTGAGGAGTTAGAGGATAAGTAAATACTCAGCACTGCCAATCTTTAGTAAAAGGAGAAGAGTGAGGGCTAAAGCTGGAATTAACACCGACTTTTGCAGATCTCTGTGGACTGCCTAGTTCTCTAGTGGAGAAATCCTAGAGGGGGGAAAAAACCCCTTTAGGGCCTCCTCTTCTCTCTCAGTTGTACCAGTGGAGAACAATAATGCCGTGGAGAACAATGCACTCAGTGTCGTAACTGAGAAAAGAACCAGCTCACCGACCTTTATGAATCCAGTTCTAGAAGATAATTTCTCTCACCATTAGAGTGTAGAGACTCTCATTTAATGTAATCATGGAAGAGCTCTGACTGGGCAAACCAGGCTCCAATAAACAATTCTATTCCTTTCTCATTTCATTCTTCGTTGATAGTGTTAGGAAGAAACACATGTTGACTTTCTGCAAGTTTGCCCTTCTCCAAAACTGTCGCCTAATTTCCTCTAACCTCTTCTGTCAGCGGGAGAGTACCACACGTTCGCTGGCACATGTTCCTCCCAGCAGAGGAATGAAACACATATTATTTTTCACATTTAATTCAGAATTTTTGTTGCTGTTGTTGCCATGCAGTTTGTCAGCCAAGCATAATCTCCTGGCAGGAGGGGACAGACAAACCAGACAAATAGAAGCAATATGCTTTGGTCATAGCCCTTGAACTTTTCGATTCAAGCAACACCACCTGGTCCTATTAACAGTGAAAATAAGAGAAGTGAAAAGCGCAACACGTTAAGTCTTTCTGCCCAGGAAAGCAAAAAATAAATAACATGGAATGACCTTCAATACTAATTGCCCTTTTAGCAGCAATTTTCAGATTCGAAAGTAGGTGGAAACTACTGAATGCTAAGAAGCTCTTAACAAGATTTCACAGCATCAGAGAATCGGAGCTGAAATGAGACTTGTTCGCTCATAGTTGCCATAGCTATGCAATAGGCTAGGCAGAGCACCACTTCAGGAGTTGAGCCCTTCTTGGTGAGTGTTCTAAATCCTTTCAGCATATCCCCAGCCTTCACATCCAACCATTGCTGTGAGCTGGTTTGGGCACTGTAATAGTTTGGAGGTCCTACAAATTCCAGGGTGTGGAAGATGACTTATCCAGGATTCATTACTGATGGGAGAAGTCCCCCTGCCCCTCCTCCCAGACTTTTTCTAGGGCTCATCTCTAGTCTTTAGCCACAGCTGAAGAGAGAATGATTAAGTGAAAGAGCAGTGATTAAGGACCATAAGGAGACCAAAGTTTCTCCACTGGACAACATGCCCAATGGGAGAATCTTACACTTTGATGTCAGATAGTCCGGTCAAGAAAATCCTCTGCTGAGTGTGAGACCTGGACATTATTCTTCACCCTGAAGAGCTACAGAGGACTTGTTTTGCCACAAAACTATGTGAACTGATGGAAACATAAGTTTGCCTAAGGTTTTCATAGGCCTTTGAAATAATCCACATGGAAAATGTTTTTAAATGTATGCTTCAGGTTTTCATCTGTTCAGAATACAAGGTGGGAGAGAACTGACCTGTACATTTCATTGCAATGGTTTATTTACGACAACAGCAGCGCTGGATGTATTAAGAAAAAAAAAATATCTTTTTATTTATGTAGTAATTGAATTTTGTGCTAATTCTGCCTTTCAGTGTGACTGAAGAGTCCCAAGCGGGAGTTACATGCAAACAGACAAGGGCAGTAGAGAGTCCCTAGAGTGTGACACAGATAAAGCAACAAGAAATCTAAATAATGTCAGACATGGGTATGTAGGTTAAAAAAACAAACCATGGTTTATTTAAATGTGTAAAGTACTTGGGAGGGAAAAAGATTACACTGTACTATGGCAATACAGACAGCACATACTGTAACAAGCTCATCCATTGCAGTGAATTCAGGCTATGTTTTCCAGCCTCCCCATCCGCTCCGTCACACCGATCTTCAGGGGAGGCTCGCCGTTGATTTCTCTAGGGGACTCCACACTACAGACTAATTTCAGTCAGAATTTGCTGTCCTGTAGGTCAGACTCAGGAGCAAAGCACCATCCTCCCACCAGGGGAGACAGGTGAAATATGGCAAAACATCCCATGCAGTAAGACCCTCTGTCACGGGTTAAGTAAAAGTAGCCTGATGGAACATCTGATTGTAGGACAAATTACCAGGCTGCCTGCCTTAAACTTATCCCAGACGTGGCTCATCACTGGGATGAGAAGCCTAAAGCAGCAGAGACTGAGAGAGATATTATGGTAGTTATGAAATGCCATTTCCAGACACAGCTTTTTATTTCAGGTTCTTCTCAATCCAGTCTTTGAAGGGAAGAGCTTTGGTGTAGCCATTGTAGAGTTCTAGGCTGCAAGTTTTATCATAACCCCAGCTCACTAATCCCATCAGGTGCCACCTGAGCTCAGGAGACGCTTTTCCTGGCAAAGTTATGGCTGCAATCCCACCAGTCTCAGCAGGGCAGATATTAGAAAAGGCCGTGTGGTCTTGTTTGGCACAGAACATGCTGTCAGTGATGCTGACTTGTATCCCATTATCCTCATACTGTTGCTCACACAACAGTGAATCCACCATCCGAACGGCTCCCATGCGGATTGTATCATTCTTGTATCCAGGATCTTTTATGTCAGCCAATACCTTCCAGCCAGTAACCATTATTTTTAAATCCTCTGTGGATGAAGTCAAGTCATGAGAAGATGACAAGCAAATGGGTTGAACACGACTGCTGATTCTGGCTTTGTCCAAGAGTTTTATGATAGCTATGTCAGAATCAAGTAATATAGGGTCATAATTGGGATGCACTATGATGGCAGAAATCTGGGGAGGAAACAGAGTAGGAAGAATTGTAGAGTTAACAGCAGTGGCAAGTCAGCAGCACTCTTTCCATCCTACTATAATACATGTTAGTTTATTTTGCATACTTCTCCTCTACCCTCCACTCCCAAACTGTTCTTTCACCATGGTGCTCACTCAAATGAGAAACATGCAAAGACATCAAGCATCTTCTGACTTTTTTTTTTCTGGCTTAGGTTTCAGGACAGTTTTTATTGCATGAAACTCTTCCTAATGAAAACCAGTCCAAGACATTTTCAGCAAAATGGGGAATTAATGTGCAGTTTAAGTTTTTCCAGTTTACTGAAAAGATTTTACCTGCCATATCATCTTCAGCCTGTGGAATTTCAAGTGGGGGAGTGGGCTTTGAATTAGTGTTATGTTCTTATTTAAATTCAACCATCTTCCCATCAAAAAAAAAAATACTGGCAACTCATTAATTAATGTTGGGGCAAACCTTTCCTGCTAGTTACCTTGATGAAACACTACAAGAATGGGTACGATTCCTACGAGGAAATTTTGTAAAACCTATTATATTTCCTTACGGGAAAAGTCTGAAAAAGCTGGAATTAGAGAAAGAAACTAAAAAGGGAGGGTGTGGGGTGGTGGTGTGTGGAAAGAATCATGATTTCTTGGATAAAACCCATTAATTAACTCACACACCCCTCCACTCCAGAAAGAGACACAATTGCTCTATTTCTTCTCATTTTGACTTCAACCTTTCTAGTTCTACTTGAAAAAAACAAACCACTCTGGTGAGCCTGAGAAGCTATTTTTGGAGCTGGAGTCAGACCTAAACTTTTGAGTTTAGAGCCGTACAGCCTTGGGGCTGAGATGTGAAATGCGCTTGTGGCATCAAACCAGGAGCACAAGTGTTTTCCTTATAAATTATGCTAATCACTTTTGACAGTAGCTGGCATCTCTTCTACT